ATAATTATTTAGAATTTATTATTAGCTATTTTATAAGATTATAGTTAATTTAACAGATTATAGAGTGAATGGCTTTTTATTGCAAATTCATAAAATTTGACGTAGCTACGATTAACTTTTCTAAATTATTTATAATTTTATAAATATTTTCTCTAACAGCTCTCAGTGCATCATTGTGAACGTATGATTGCCCCCTAATCTGAATTCTTAAATAAATATTTCTTGAAGCTCTAAGTAAGGTCATAACAGAATGTCTACAACTCAACCTTAAAATTCATTTATAAATGCTTTCCTTTCCTGAGTTATTTTTGTAAGCAAACTTTTATGTTTGTTTGTTTGTTTCATAACCACGGGCTATAAAAAATATATGCATTTTAAATGCTTTCTTTCCTTAAATCCCTTTTAAAAGAAAACTTTGCTCCCAGCTTGACTTATAATTTTCAGCGAGTCTTACTTGCAGCTCTCTGTGCTTTTAAAGCAGATGCCCAGATGTTTATGTGATTTGTTAGCTATTTAAATAAATTATTAATTACACAAAACATTTACTTTTCTAAGCTATTCATTATATATTGTTATATATAACTTTTAACGATCAATAAGAAAATAAAATTCGACTTTAAAAGTGTTAACAAACAGATGTGAATACAATTTGCAATCATTCTAAATGGTTTTACTTCATTTTTTACTACAAAAAGGGCTTTTAAGCCCTCACAATTTTTAAATATATTAATTCGCTAAGTTGCATCTCTTCTAAAAGTTTACTTTTCATTTTACTACACTTTGATTAATTGGAAAACTTTTGACATAACTTGAAATTGGGAAAGTGCAGAAGTTGCGTCGATGTTGCATGAGTTGCACTTACGAGCCACGCCTCAAACTTATATCTTGGAGCTTACGAAAAAAACACATAAAACAATTCACTCAGACGCCACATCAATTTGCTTTCAGAATTTGTTGTTGCTCTTTTATTGTTGTTATTATTGTTATTGTTATTGCAGTTTTTGATTTGTTTGCAAACAATTCGATTTTGTTGCTACTGTCACACGAACGACAACAACAACAACGAGCAGACATTTCGTTTGCAAATTCGCGCACAAACTGTTTCTGCAAATTGGCAAACAAATTTCGCAACATTTTCCGCAAACGAAGCAGAATCATTTCGTCAAACGCCTTCAACTTGACCCCATATAAATAGCTAAGAGAGCAAGAACTAATGCTACATTTTCATTTCATCTCTCTTTCACACGCTCTCTCTCTCCCTCTCTCTTTCGCTCTCATGCGTCACAGAAAGCTTCAACAGCTGATTTTAAGTTAAATTTCGAAATTATGATTTTCAATTTGCTTGAATTCTATTTACGTTTTACGTTTTATTCTCAGTTGTTTACGTTTTTCGCATTTGGCAGCCAAAGTGCCTGTCTGCATTTATTTATAGAGCACTGTAGGGGCTCGAGCGGCAGGGCAAGGCGCCTGTAGATGACTCGCAATTATTGGGGACAATTTTAGCCTAAAAATAATGCCAAAAAGTGAGCTGTTTTCTTTGGCAGAGTTTTGTGAAAATTTTCCAAATTGAAATTAGGGTTTTTTATTGAAATTTTTATTAGAATATTTGTGAGAAAAGCAGGAATATATATATATTTTTTAAGGTGGATATGCATTACAAGCAAATTTGAATAAGTCATAATACTGTATAAAACAATTTTTTGATTTCGAAAGAGCATTTAAAAGAGACAAAGAAGGCTCAGATTATATATCCCTAGCTTCGATTTAAAAGACATAGTTCAACTATCAAAAACTTTCGGCTCAATATCAATCAATTAGTTGATACGAAAAATTCATTATATTACATAAATTGTTTATTTTGGTTATTATGATATATCTACAAAATAATAATTGAAAATAAACTTCAAATTTATTTCTAGACAAGGTCTCAGTGAAGGTTGTCATATAAAAAATGTTTTATTGTTTCGCTAAATGGTGATAATGGATGTATATAATATAAAAAAATATATATAAAATTAAAAAAAAAAAAAAAAACAATATAAATATATAGTATAGCATCTAAATTTGAAATAAATTTCTAAAACTTACCTCTTCAACTCCTCACACTGTACGTTTGCCTCAGCAAACTCGGCGCGTCTTAAGTTTTTCCAAGAATGAATCGAAAAATTTCCTGTGCACTCGAAAATTAATTTTCCTTTCGCTTTCTTTTTAATTTATTTATAATTTCTGTTGTTTGGAAACTTGAATAGTTAGCCTTGAAATTTCAACTGTTGATTATTGTTGTTGCTATAATAATATTGTTGCTGATTGTAATTGTTATWGTTGTTGTTGTTGTCACTTGCACTACCAGGGCCGCCAATTAATTCACCATAATTACACAGATCTTCAGTTATATTCAATTCGCTTAAAGTGCGTTTGGGTTGGGCCAAGTGTTTATACAGCGTGGCGGTTCTATTGAAAATTCTTAGACGCGGATCGCGTGGTATATAATGTAGAAACACTTTATTCGATTTGCTGCTGTTGTTRTAAGTGCGCGGATTGTTGTTGTTGCTATTATCAAAAGTTGTTCTAGTTGTTGAGGAAGCGGAGGAGGAGGAGTTTTTGTTGCTGCTGCTCTTTGGCTTTTTAGTTGGGGTGGTTGTTGTTGTTGTTACGACAGCTGATGTTATTATTGGTGTTGCTGTTGTTGTTGTTGTTGTTGTCTTTTTAGTGGCACGATAAAGCGGCTTTAACCGAAACACATTCATCAAGAACGTTAACGTTTTTAACACTGACCAACAGGAAAACACTAATTGAGCAAATTTTGGCCGCAAATCAAATTGGCTGCCTCTCTGTTTATAATTGATATTGTTGTTGTTGCTGTTGTTGTTGCAGTTGTAGCTGCCCGTAAACGTTTTTAGCCCGGACACGTACATGCGGCACTTCGAATGCACAAATCAATCGAATGAAGAAAACAAAGCGAACGAAACGAACGGAAAGAAAATCAAAAGAAATTATTGAGATAAAGTTGGAGCAATTCGATCGATCGAAAATTGGACAACGCGCAACTGTATTGTACTGTTGTACTCGCTAACGGTAACTCAACGCGTGTCAAGTGCGCGGCGCATTGTGCGGCTTTTTCGCAAACATATTTCGTTTTAGGACACTTCTCACTGGGCTGCTTCAAATATGGCGCACGCGGCGTATGATTAATGCGTTCGCTTGTTTGCAGCTCAATCACAATAGCTACCAGCTCACACTATTCTAGCTGCTGTTGTAGGGTGTTTGTTTTCCGTTGATGATGATTTATGTTTGTTGTTGTAGTCGATTAGCAGCTGATGCCACAGACAATGCTGCAATGAGAGATTGAGAGAGTAGAAGACAAAATTAGCTTAGGTTTTGTTTATAACGATTCCAAATTGACAGGCGCCAAGCGCCCAATATATCTGCCACAATACCATATATCATCATATATCACACCATTTAGCATTAAATAAAAAAAACTGTTTAGCACAAAAGCCGCCACAGCTGACACAGTACTTCAAATAAATCACACAGCATCTTGTAAATTGGCCAACAATGTGAGTTCCAATTTTCGCAGGCCATTGAGAAATATTTTCGCCTAGCTATAAATTGCTCTAGTGGTTCTAGCTGCAGCTCATCACGCCCTTTGCACATAAAATCCAGAATAACAATTGTCGCAGGCTTCAGCGCAACTATGTGGGCGTGTCTACACTCAGCGCCGACATATATTTGCCAAGCATGTTTTATTTTAGGTTTAGTAAAGCTTTCACATGCTACAGAAAAATAATGTGACCTAGTTTGGCATTACTAAAGTTTTGGGTATAGTAATATATAATATCAATAATATATAATAATATCAAGTACTAATCTAATATAATATCAAGTACTAATTTTCAACTCTCTAAAGCGAAATTATTCTTTAAAATATTTTATAGAAACAATTTTACTACAATAATAAAAGTTACTAAAAATTACGGATAAAATAAATGGATAAAGTTACAAACAGCTTTTTAATATTGATTAAAGCTTTACTAAAATCTTGTATACATTATAGATTAATACAAACAAACAGCTTTCCAAAGCAGATTGCTTCAATTAATATGATAAAAGCTTCTAACAAGATTAGACTATTTTAAGAATCTTACAAAGATTATAGTTGACCTACTTTATTTTAAATTTTATTTTTTAACCAAAAATTTAAATATTTCAGCACTTCTTATTTGAATAGTCCAATTTGAGTTTATGACGGAAACACAGTCGACTTGGTTAAGCTTCTAAAAATAATACAGCTTTTGCAATTAGCTTAAAAGTGCAGTTATCATGAGAGAGTGAGGAAGGCAAAGAGAGAGAGAGAGAGCGTGGTGCACCTAATTGATTTGTTGTCGATTGGTTGAATAAACGCTGAGTGCTTGGTCGTCGCTGCCAAGTTCAATGCTCGATAGGCGCTGCATTTAATTATATACTGAAAATAAAAGTATACACATACATAGATTCATATATGTGGACAGTGTAAACAATGTGCGGCGCATTTCTATTTAATGAGACTTGAGAGCTTAGCTAAAATGGCTAATGCGAACTCTCAAAAAACTATTGCTGCTTATCAAATGTCAATTTGCGTCTTGACGACCTGATAACACACACACACATACACTTATTAATGTATATACATGAGTGTGTTTAGCTAAAAGTACGTTAAGATTACTATCTTTATGATACGATTTGGCAACAGTGCTTACTATATGCAACGGATGATAAGAGGGATTACGTCTCCTTTCAATTACAATGCCCCCGACACGAGAGCCCCAAATGTTTATTAACCAACAACACCTTAATGACTTTCACTATAAAAATGCTGAATAATCAATTAACATTTCTTATTTGACAGCAACAAGCATACGACGTTTGTAATGCCATTTACATGTATATATATTAATACTAATAAAAGTGTGTCTATTTAATGGCAGTTAAAGAATTCTGAATTCAGAATTCATATTTTAGTGCATAGGAATACTAATTTATTTTAACTTTAATTATGTATTGTCTTTGATTGATATATATATTCAAGAATGACATTATAAAGTATATAAACTTAACTGCCAATTGCTGTATAATTTTACAAAATAATTCACAAGTTATTCTTAATTACTTTGTTATTAATCTTTTATTTTTATATTGTTATTTTATTTAAGTCAAAATCTAAAATAAATTATATAAGTGAATTTAGATTACATTTTATTCGATTTATTAGTTTATTTTATACTCCTTTTTTTTTAATATGAATTTCATTTGCCACAATTATATTCACATTTTCTTTATTCATAATTTCTTTCACATAAATTCTTAATTCTGCTTTCATTATCACAATTTTAGTATAGCTTTTTAATTTATATTCCACTGCACTTTTAACTAAACGGAAACTAAATTTTTGTATAAAAAAAAAAAAAAAAAACAAACAAAACAACAAATGTTTTACCTTAAGTAGGCATCACGTGTAAACCGAAAACCCCATTTAAAGCCATTTCGAAGCCTTTGCGGCGCCCTTTCATATGCAACGCTTTATGCGATTTCACTTTTGATTTAGTTTTTAAACTTTATATTTAAAGTGAAGTAAAGTTAGCATGTGGAGCGACGAAATCTTATGAAACACTTTAAGGCACATGTTGAATGAAACACAATTTGAAAACTGGCATCACGACGGGTGTAACTGCTACAACTTATAGTTTTGTTAGCTATTGGATTAGTCCGACTAAAGCGGCCAACAAACAGTTCAGTGGCTCGTCGCCTGGCAGACTAATAAATGAGCTCGCAAAGATTCGGTGATGAAAGCCTCGTGCAGAAAGACGAAACAAGTCGGGAAAAGAACAGAAAACAGAATGAAATGAAAACCGAGACGAAGGCGCCGGCGGCGGGGCGATGTCGCGTCTGTAATCGCGGCAATCGTTTTTGCTTTAATCTAATAAATTTCTTATCAGCAAGTCTCGGGCATACGAGTACTACGAATGTACACATACTCAAATGTCTCTCTCTCTATATGTATATGCATATATACTTATATATTTGATGCATTTGTATTTGTGCAGTTATCGCACTACCTGCCCCACACGCGGCCACTTGACATCCCCGTCGCGATGGCTGTCAAGTAGTCAGCCTTTTGTTATGAGTTTCTCTTTTATTTGCAAATACCCTAGGCTGAAGGGCTACATAGGGTATCTAGAAACATTTTTATAAATAAATAAA